AAGAGCGTGTAGAAAATAAAAGGCTATTTCACTGTATCAATGCAGGTCATCATAGAAAGTGAGCGGAAATGTAAAAGGATATGGCTTAGGATGGAAAAGAAAGAAAAAGTGATTGCACAAAGCAAGAGCTATTTGGGGAAAGGTAAATATAAGCTGGGGACTGAAAGAAGAGAGAAAGAGAGAGACAAGGAGAGGAGAAACTACTCATAAAACTTCAGCCCTTAATAATGTGGCTGCTTTTGGAAACAGACTGTCTGCATTCCTTTCTAATCACCTTGGCAGTGACAGCCTCAATATTGGCAGGTACGATACATTCATAGGTGTGGGGATTCTTTTCTCTGGAAAATATGATGGTTTCTATCCTTTGCTTCCTGAGGAACTCTTCCTTTGTTACAATATCTGGAGAGAGAAGCGGAGGAAGGCAAGGTTAGCAGATTCACACATTTTGTACACCTAGGAAACCATCCAGCAGTATTTTAGTTAGGATACAGTGAAAGATCAACTATGAGCTGTCTTCTTGAGAGCTCATCTCATTTTAGTCATTTAATTCAGCTAAAGCCCAGCTTGATCTTGGCTCAGAACCTCAAATATATCCTGCAGCATTGAGTTCCCAAGCAATTAACAGAACACAAATGACAAGAAAGCATCAAACGACAAGAATACGATTCAGTAAATAGCATTCCAGTACCTAATGTCAGGGAGTAACTGGGATCCACAGCACCAAGTCCAGGATGGACTATCCCCCGCTGTAACTGAGATAGCAATCTGCTCAGTACTATGCTACTGTATTGCAGTGCTATTACTTACATTGCAGTAGGGTCTACATGCTTCAGTCTCATTGGGCTAGGCATTGTTCAAAGACATAATAGAAAGATGGTCCACCCCCAGAATAGCTTACTCAGCTCTGCATACACACTGAATAAACATTGTAAGACAAATCCTGAAGCACTGTGCTAAAGCATGGGGATCCAAAAGTAAAACCGACTAGAAGCAGACCAATTTCGGTGTCCAACAAGGTGAGGGAAATGCTGAATAATAAGCAACCCACAAAAATCACGAAGAGTAAATTAGAATCTTCAGATTATTGTAGTTTTATCAGTTTAAGGTCTTAATAATTACTCAGGTATGGGTCCTGGGATTTCAAATGAATTATTCTTTAACAGAACAGAAGATCTTTCAGAGGTAGGAATCACAATACTGGATGCTGGCTTGAACGATAAGGATTTCACTCAGAAGCCCTGTCTTTGGAGAAGATCAGATGCAAGATCTTCACAGCACTGGACTGTATAAAACTGTATGACTGGTTGTAGCACCCAGACACAAGCTGATCAAAACTTCACACACCCGGATTGGAACATTACAGAAGCAAGAGCACTCATGACACCCCGGTCACAAAGTGTGAAGTGTGTTATGGCAGCTATTGAACATACAAATGTGCAACATTTCACCAATATGGGACTTCAGAACTACTTACAATGGCTAATTCGGAAACCTTCAGAGCTTCTCACAAATTCACACGCTATAGTATCCAGACCTACACTTCACTGTGACATGGATGAAGGTGACCGAAGTAGCTGTAACGTATGCACACACATTTGCATGCACATGCATAATACTCTTTTATTCATTACCTGGCTTACACATGTTGAATTCCAGGGCACCTCCAGAGTTCAAAAGCTTCTGCACCAGGGTCTTGGCAAGCATAGTGGGAGTAAAGAGGACGGGACGCCTGCGATCACAGTGAATTGGTCGCACCAAGCTATAGGGGATCAGGTTGAGGCTCTTATTTATTTCACTTTCAGAATCCATATCTGAGAAAAGAGGAGACTGTTTATAAACTAGCTTGTTCTTCAATTGTGGGACAAGAAGATAGAAGAATTACAGTATTAGAGAGGGGAATGACATGTTTCGTCTTGTCCATCCCTCTACTGTATATTCTTCAGTGTGATGGTTGTAAATTATTCAAGCAGTATCTTCACCATTTTCCTTAGGATACTGACAGTTTAACAGGCCATTTAGTTAGAAAATTTCCCTGATTATGAGCCTAAATTTATTTTGAGTGAAGTGTCCTAAGAGGGACAACCTGAGGAAACCTAAGAACAGTTGTCAACAAAAGAGAAAGTGTAAGTGGATCTGTTGACTTGTTTCCCACGCCTATCTTCACCCAAACCCTTCAGCAAAATATAAGCCATCAAGCACCAGTATTATCTAGCTATCACATGAATATATTAGTTAGATATGAGAAAGTCCTAGGACCCAAATCTCCATTGGCTTATATTTGCATAGTCTTTTACATCTAGGTAAAGCAAGCATAACATTTCTGTCATGTCCATACCTTCCAATTTATCTGGCAACAGTTTCATTGCTTCAGAAGAGGTCCGTGCCAGCCCAGAGGGGCAGCCAGTGACAATACGGACTCGCTCGTTGCTGTTCATGCGCTTGTATTTGTTTTCAGACCTGCTGACAAACTGAAAAAGAAAGAGAGAGGCTTCATCCTCATTCGTTCTAGGGATCAAATTCTTTTTTCTTTCTATCATTTGTCAGCTCTCCACACCCTCTTCCATTACCTGTGAGATCTGAATCGCCTATATGTCTGTCAAAGACGAGACTACAGGTTGTCTAATTCCTCCACGGAGCTGTTGTCTGAATCCCAAGACTCTTTAAAGATCACAGATCTGACCCAGAGCTTTTCCAAATCCCCTGTGAAATGATTTTACTTTGCTCACTCTACTTATGAGTCATGTTTTTGTCTTCCTTTCCAAAACCTTCTGGCAACAACAGCCTGAGCACTAATGAACTCACAGAGAGCAGCGTGGTTACTATGAATGTTAGTACAATGGTACCACAAATTATACCCAGCGATCTGCCCCTTCCTTCTTGCAACACCCATTGTTCAGGCTGTTGAGTCCAAAAGCCTTCACCTATGGTAGAATTTCACATCCTGGAATATGCTTCATTCATTCATTCATCAATCTATCCTTTTATTTAAATATTTACTCCTGCAGCTGCATAGCCTCTAACCAAACAGCCCATATTACCTTTCCATTGCACTCATCCACATGTTCTCCAACTCATTCAACATAACTGACCCTAGAATTGAAGAATCATTTGCTGCTGGAACATTACTCTCCTAGATAACAAGAGACTTGCTTTGGCCAAAAGGATTCATTGTCATGACTCAAATCAAATATATTTCAGCCTTCCAGGGTATGGCTGTATGCTAGAGTTGCAACAGAAGGAAGGCATAAAAAGATCCCACACAAGGAAGGCAGCTAGAAAGCAAAATCCATTCCACTTTTCTCATATATTTAAAGCTCCTTGTGGCAGTCAGAAACTCTTGTACAGTTTCTGAATGGGAGAGTAGCCTCTCAAAAGTTATGATACTGGAAAACATCACAAAGAGAACTCAGACTCAAATGTTTCATTTAAAATCATGCTTAGCAGTAATGTGGAGGAGGATTTGAGCTTTATTACCTGTAAGATTTGGCCCAAAAGAAAGCTTGCTCGGGACAGGCGAGGGCTGGTTTTGGGGTCATTCTGTGGGACAGGTTCCTCTGGCTGCAGCGTGTGCTAATAAGAATTGCACAGGAAAAGATTTTCTTTAAAAAGCTGCAGAATGAAATAGATCTCCGGAAGACACACAATGCAGTTATTCCCAGCCAAGGGCATCATTATTCATTAATATTTGTACCAATTATAAAAGTCAGTGCAATTCTGTGCCAGCTATGGACCTAGCGCTGCTCATACTGATAAACTCCACACTTGTTATTACTTGCCCGCATCCCTCTCTCCGTGGGAGCCTCTGGCTGTGCCGACACTGTATAATTGACCAGAGAGGTCACCTGTCTAGTGACCTGTGCACTGTTGGTTAAAAGGACTATTTACATTTATTGGAGCTTACATGACCATCATCTCCATCCACGCTGACCCTTGATCTGTGGACACAGTCATACTAGAGAACTATCTGGTGCTCAGCTTTGAGGGAAATTCATTAATTCCACTTCTGGGCACAAGGTGTATTTTGGATGGAGACAAAACCTTCCAATATGGGTCACTGAGAGTTACTTTTTCAAGTAAAGAAGAGAAACAATTCTGATGATTAGCTCGAGGAAACGGCTCTTCCCTATGCAGCACTGAAGGGAAACGTAGAGCCAGCGCAGATAGAAATGGAATAGCTACCAGGTAGAGCAGATCCTGGATCTGTGGAGACTGGCCCTCACCAGTACGAGGGGATAAAGTTACAGTGAAGCAAGACCTGCTGCAGGGAATCCTGTTGGTTGAAAGGTACGGAAATGCAAGGCAGTCACCCCCAGGGGTAGCACAAAACAGCTTACAGAGAGTGTTTCAAATCAGGCATTTAATGCAACGTTAAGTACTGAAACATGCAGAGCATAGGATGAATTGACCCAAAAAGGCTGTGGCCGTGGATACCTACCCGGAGCGTTCGTAAAGTATTGTATGAACTTTCTGTCTCGTCCCTGCTGCCTCTGTGCATCAACCGCTGCAGCTTCACCAAAAGGAGTTGCTGGGCTCTAAAAAAAACAGCGTAGCTATGTGGATCAAGAAGAAGCAATTGAGACCATCTACAGGAGGAATGAATGCGATGGGTCAGTGCCTACAGAAAAGGTCAAACAGAGGGATAGCACGGAGGAGTGGCTGAGCCAGACAGTAAAGGCAGGGAACAAAAGCAGTTCTGTGGTGCCATTAAGGAAAAGTGTATATCTTTCTACTTTGCTTTGCAAGAAACACCCCAGCCTCCTTTCGGCACCATTGGGGGGTCTCCCCTCAAAGCCCAATGGCTCACTGTGCAGCTCCACCAGTTTTGAGATGTGAAGAGAGGAGAGGCTTTAAACAGTTCAGACAGCAACTGAGCACAGTCACAGCTGTTTTTTCTGCTTCAGCCTAAATTGCGCTCACCTGCTGTAGCTGGGAATGGTCCCTGTTTCCAGATCCCGGTCAGTGAAAGGATCAACTCTGGCGCACAGCCACTCACACTTCCCCTGGTACATTGTGTCGAGAATATGCACGATTTCATCACACTTCACTGACAAGGAGCAGCAGTCCAACTGGCTCGAGATGTTCAGATTCAGGCGGATGTGAAATGAATCCCCTGATGTGATCAGCCCTTCTTCCAGTTCTGACAACAGTTTCCGGTACCCTGTGGCAGCAACAGAGAGAGATAAGTATACGCAGTGGGGGACCGAGAGCTGCCCGCTGCGGTACTCTTAGCATTCGAGGAGTGGGCACTCTTGAGGGAGATGCTCACGGCGCTTACGTTCTAGTTTATACTGACGTGAGAGACGCTGCCCTGCTAGATTGCTACTTGGAATGATTGTGGCATGACTACGAGTCTGGAGTCTTAAAGAGAGTGACAGGACACTCCCCTGGGGACAGCTCACACCGTGTGCGTCAGAGACTGCCAGGAGAATTTTACACCTAGGCAACCTCCGTTTTGATCGTTACGTACAAATGATCCATAAAACAGTAAACTTCCTAACCAAGACCGAGGCAGAAAGCGAAAGTTTCATCCTGCAAATACAGCATGAGTTCTGCCAGGTTATTTTAATAGGGGGTTATTTATTTTCTCATTAGCTCTAATTGGCACTCCCACAATCTGTAGTACACTTTATGCGCAGCCAAGTGGTGCTTGAAAAAAAGTGTAATATTCTTACCTATTTTTTAAAACATCAAAGAAAATAAAAAATTAAAAAATAGAAATCACCTCCTGTGTGAATTTTCCTGACAAGTAGAAAGAAGGGGAAAATATCCCTGAACCAGTATAAGTGGCTTTTGGAATGTAATTTTTGATCCATACCACCAAATTATCACTACAAGTCCTGATCACTAAATGAAAGTTCATTCACCATGTGTGAACTCCAGCTGTTAAAGATAAGATATATCTGCAGAGCTAATAAACAAGAAGAACTCCTAGGTATAAATTGGATTTCAGTTCTGTAAAAATAAAAAAAAAACAGCACACCATGTTCCATGATAGGAAATAGTGTGCAAAAATAATTTGACATGTTGTAAATACTGTCTCTAATGATCCACCCAGTAAGCGCTTCAGACAGTTCCAATGACAAATGTAGGGGTTATTTCTGATCTCAGTTACATTGGTGTAAATATAAGTAACTTTACAGAAGTCAGTGCAGTTGCTTCTGATTCAGGCCCAACGAAGAGCTTCCTTTATACTAGAATCCTTGCAAAGCCAAACATCAGGTCTTACCTTCATGATTTGGTTTATATTGGAGTGTTACTGGGCCACTACACCTCTGAATTGTCCAATGAACTTCTTCCTTGGTGCAGGTGTCCAAGGGGACACTCTGATTTTCCCCTTTGATGCAGCCCTCCAGCTAGATAAGAAAGAAAGAATTCCCTGTTGTGCGCTCCATGCGTGGCAGTTATACCACCCGATAAACTATGGACCCTCTTTCAAAATTAAACAAGTTATTTTTTGCTACCAGGATACAAATATTACATTTTTATTATTTATCTCTGAATTGTTTTTTCTTCTGCTAGACATACTAGAAGTTGATGGAACTGGAGCTCAGCGACAATCCATGTTTCTTCCGCAGGGACCACTACAGGGAATGGTGTAGAAGGCTAGTTTAAGGAGAAGCTGACAGCCACTCTCTTCCTATCTTTTGCTAGCAAAAGTAGCAATAAATAAGGATGTAGGAAGGTTGATGGTGGGAGAAAACTCATAGCATATCTAGTCACTGCCAGAGTCACTCTAGGGAATGGTGCAAGGGCAGCAGTGCTGAGCAAAGCACAGAGCTACTGGAGTGACAGTCTCTCCAGGCAGGAGTTGCTATTGGGCATAATACTGTAAGGACACCAGCTGCCAGAAAAGCTCACAGCCACTCTAGTCCTAGCCTCTTCAAAGGGACATCACTCTAAAGAATGGGAAAGGACAGCTATTTTAGTCCCAGTCTCTTCCATCAAGAGTCACTGCACCATTTAATGTGCAGGTGGGTTGGAAACCCACAAATAGCATACTTCCAGTCTCTCTCAAAAGGAGTCACTAGCAGAGCCAAAGAGGTAGGAGTACTGGCTGCAGAAGATACTTGGGTTTTCTCATTAACACAGGAGCAAAAAAAGAAATAAGACTATTGCAATGAGCTCTTGAGCTCTCTTTTTTTCTCTGTGGCATGCATGAGCACACACACACATGCACATGCACACACACACATGCACATACATGCACGCTGCTGTTTATTTAGTACTCACCAGAAGCAGCTGGTATCCCTCCCGGAGGCCTGCTTTTTCTGCTAGGGATCCCATCTTGACAAAGCTGATAAAGCTTCCTTTGTCATTGCCCCCAAGCAAAGTGATTTCAGAGTTGAGGCTGTCTCCATTCAGTGTGACTCGCTGGACAGTATGGCAAGAGTTCCTAATGCGACCAACAGATGTGACAGAGGGACGGAAAGGTCTGGGTTCACAAAAGAAATAAATGGCTTAGACAATGCTGGCCTCATCTTTCCTCAACTAGCTTGGGTCTAAAAATAGGAATGCTTCATGCAGGATAAATGGGGAAGGGCATATAACCAAGCTTTCTATGGTTATCAAATATTACATTTTAAAGCTTCTAAGAGAAATCTTCAATTTTAGTTCATAAGTTACATTTGAAAACAGCATCTGGACACTGTTAAGTGCTGACACATGACTGAATAACCTCAGATGTACAACAGCACAGCATCTAGTAACCAGCAGGAGTGAGATAACAAGCTTCCTAGGATGAAGCTACTCTCTTCATATACAGTTGTCTCTTCTGATTGTTATGGGATAGGCACCGTTTTGAGGAAGCAATCAAATATTTGCTTTGTAAAACAGAAAACGGTCCAAAAATCCTATGGTGAGCTGCTGCACTGGAACACATGAATGTAAAAGCAAAGTTCAGCACACTATGAAATAGCCTGCCAGACAATAACTTGCCTTCTAACATTTCTGCCACAATATCACATCTGGCCAAGCAAAGATTATAAGGCGACAACCCTACCTCAGGATCCTTTCCAACCCTAGGTCAGCCTTAAGCAGTTAAAGCAGTGTCCCCTTAAGTACCTCTCCAGAGAGAACTTCCTAAATATGGAGCTGACATGCTCAAGGTCATAGGCTTCCATGCCCTCAGACTGGTGCGAAGAGGAGGAGGAGTGCACTGAGGGAGCTCCGTGCGAGTATCTGTCATGACCGTCATCTGAAAAGGGACACAAAATAAAATGCAGTCATGGATGGGGTGAGAAAGCAGAAAGGTACCAGCTTAGCTGAGGCCAAGTCCAAGGTCAAGGCATTCTTTTGATCTGGTGTAGGATTCGTGGCCACTGGCCCCGGAGGTAGCAGTAAAAATCCTGCTCCCTCTAAGTTTATCTGGTCACCGTTAGCTCCATTGATGCCTTCTGCCCATTCAGCGCCTATAAGCCATGCACAGTCCCTCTACCCTATCCACTATAATCCCTTTCTGAATTTGCTTCTTCAAAGAATAACTCCTCACTATGTTGTTTTTTTTTCATCATTCCTCTTCTGAAGTGCTGACCTGAGATTTTTGTGGGCAACTGTAAATTTGTGTAAATCTTCAGGACAGAGAATGCATTTATGTTTGCAAAGCACCTTGTAAATTAGCAGCCTTACAGAAATGTTTTTGTCATAAATAATCGGAGCCTGCAGAAATAGTGAAAGAATGCTGGACTGCAAGTTTCTCGCAGGAAACATTGTACATACATTAATTAATGTTTGCAACAGGCCTGTAAGGGAAGTATCATTATCCCCTTTCTACACAGAAATTAAGTGGGATACAGAGTGGTTCAGCAAATTGCACAAAACCTGTTCTAGGTCAGAGCCGGCATTAGAAATTAGGAATTCCTGGTTCCCAGTTCCATGCTTAGTCTATTGAAACAAAGTGTGAATCCATTTATCATTCTCTAGAACTCCTTCTGGGAAAGGCTGTGACCTCTCCCAAAACCCAGCACAACTGATTGTGACACCTGCTATGGAAGGCTTGAATTAGATGAGGGGTACATTCAGAGAGCTCCTACACCATGTAAAGGGAAAAGGCCATTTATTTCCTTTTCAATGTGTCATTCCTCTCTCTTCTGATCCCTGCATTTCCTGAATTTAGGGGACCCCAGCAAATGGCCTTCCTATGAATGAAACAATGGATCTGGTCTTTGCTTTTTGTATTTCAGTGGGTGAAGGGTGGGAGTCCTTCTACTCCTGATACGGCTCTGCCTGTGTTAATGGAAATGGGTGAATGTCAGGTGCCGCTCTTGTGCCCCAGCTCTGCCCGTATTAAAAGAAAGCCATTGCATATCATTATCCTTCTTCCCATTTACCCGATGTGCGATAACAGAGTCTGGTGGGCAGTCTATATGGTTGGTGAATTAAAGGACCAGGATCATGATACATAAAGCTCCATAACTGGTATTTCTCACTTACCATCTAGCTCCAAAGTATCACAGCTAAAGCTGTCATTGTCCTCTTCAACAAGGCTAGAATTAAAAAAACAGAGCAAGAGAGAATGAGCAAGAGAGACTTTTCCTTTTTAACAGATCCTGACAGGCTGTGAGAGAAGGAGCACTGTTGAGATATGGGCACGGGGAAGAAGCAGGAAGGGTGCACGGGAAACTTCTAGAGGGGATTATAGAGGGGAAGGAAGCATGAGAAGCAGCAAAATGCTTTAGAAGGAGGAAGTGTTAACAAAAGAGAAGTAATGAAGGTTCTGATGGGAAACGCAGAGAAGTTGTAGTCTCTGGTGTCCTGAAATGGTTGATCTGGCTTCTGTTCTTCTGTTGAACATTTTGATATGATGCCTGCACAATACCTGCTTTCTACTGCCATGTTCTTTATCCCACAATGGGTCCAAAATGTCACAGTGTCACTGATGGGAACAGTGAATGCAAAGAAAGCACTTGAGGTACAGCAACGGAGAAACGTTTTACTTTGGTTATGATTTTCAAGTATACTTAAAGTAATGAAACTGCATTTTTGAGGTGCCCTTGACACGGCAGAATGCCTGGTGAAATCAGAGGAATGTCAAGGTGAACAAAGCTAGGTATGGACCATTCTTCTCTGTCTGCTTCAAATTCAATGCCATTGCAATCAGTCAGATTAATCCTTTCATTTCAGTTGGAGTGGGAGCGGGCACCAGGTCCACAGTCCATAGTCATTCCAGGGCTCCCTGACATCTTTGTTAAAAAAACATTAAGGGCCAGATTCTGATCCACCTAGTAAATAGCATCTTCAAGAAAATGCCAGCGACCGCAAAGAACCAACATATGAATTAGCAAGTTCCTCATCATGAAATTTGGACCCAAAGGAGAAATGAAGCATCCAGCCAATGGCATACTCTAGTGGGGCAGTCATCTAGAAAGGATTCAGTATGGCACATATGCAGACTGATTTAAATGATAATTCCCTGCCTTCACCCATTCAACCCTTTCTAAAGTTCTCCTTTCTGGCTCACATGGGGTTTTTTTTAATCTCTGGTCCCAGGCAAAGGGTGAATTTTTGCAGAAAGTATGAGAAGAATCAATTCAGTTATTTCTTATATTATGCAAGACACCATGGAAAAAGCCAAGTTTTCCTGCTGTAATAAATTAGCCTCACTTCTCTTTCACACAAATAAATAAAAAACAGCTGAAGTGTAAAACCTGAAACTTGGCATGTAAATAGTGATTAGTTTGGAGTATCTCCATGAACAAGTTCAAAAAAATTTGGCAGGCTAATTATAAAGTTGTAAGCTACTGAGAAATCAGTACTGAGCATGTTCCAGTGATATGTGACTTCAGGGATTTTTAACTCAGCTAAATGAGGCCATATCCCTATCCTGCTAGACACCGTGCATCTTCTGCTCTTGTCAGACAGAAACAGAGCTGCTGCAGGAACAATTTGTGTGAAGGAGATTGCAAATATTTCAATGCAGTATACACACAGCGTGGTCCTTCCAAAACCCCCAGCGCCTGAATGTACAAAACAGGGGACAGCCACGGGGGTGAGTGTTTGGATGCTATTACCATTTTAAGACATCTTTACCGCTTTTACCGCAGCCTGCAATATTCTGAAAAATGTAAGTGCTCGTTAAAAAATTGGATAGACACGTTTTCAAAAGCTGCCACTGCTCATGGGGGCCACTGATAACAGTTGCCTGGCATCCAGTTTTAGCAGGTCCAGCCTTAGGAAGAATGGCTCCCTGGGCAAACTTATATTTCGGCGCCATTTCTTTGAGTTTAAGTATGTAGTAGTATTAGTGAAAGTTTCAGAAATAAAGCCCTGGGGGAGCTGCTGGGCTGGATCAGGAGACTTGCTTCCCTGCAGGCGAGCACCGCTGCTGCTGTGTGGGAGCAAGGCAGGCGGACTAGAGCAGGTGCACCCTGCCCACACATGCCTGGCCAGGGTCCTCCTAGGCAGTGGCTGGAGGCGGAAGGCAGGCTGGGCTGGGCACCACTCCTCCTGCCTGGGGTGGGGCGGTGCTGGAGGAGAACGCTGCTGTGAGCGTGGGCTGCTCACATGTAGGTGTGCGTGTGTTAGGCACCCCTGTGACCATGGCACCCTGGGTGGTCGCCCACATCGCCCACCCATAAGGCTAGCCCTGTGTTTTAGGTTCGATCGTCCTATGTGCTGAGCATCCTCAGCCTCCAAATAGTAATGGATCGGCTCCAGTTAAGGCACCTGAAAACGGAGGCATTCCAAGGCAGTGACTGCTTTTGAGAAATGTCGCCTACCTTACTCTCTTTTTCACGTTTTGAGATGCAGCCAACGCTCTGTAAACAGATGTGCTGCTCTGCGCTTAGCCTGACCATGCAGAAAACTGTTTCAGAGGCGAGAATTTCAAAACATCGCTGCTGCCATTGTTAGTACTAACAGTACCCAAGCATTTGTAGTTCTCATTCTTCCCACTTTTTCTTTGTAAAACAAGCGAGAGTCAGGAAATGTGAAAGTTAAGATAACTACACTACATGAACAAAGCCATGTCATACATCTTGTACCTTTCAGAGAATATATATACTAAAATTGCCAAAAAATGTATTGAGCAACAGATTTTTTTAAAAAATAGTGAAATGCTATCTAGATAATAAGCCAAAGTTAACACTAAGTGGAACAACATTTCATTCCCTCTTTATTAAAATGTCCACTGTGTAACCTTAATTACTATTTTTAACTCTTCCTAACAAATAGGCAATATTTGTAGCAACAATAGTAATAGGCTGTGTGCTATACTATAACAAGAACTCATGTCAAGGGCCTTGTCTTAAACAAAACAGCAACTGAACAGATGTGAACGACATCTCTACATAATTTGTTATGAAACTGGTGCAGAGAGCTGCATGTTTGGTTCTGATGGGTTACTAGCTATGAAATTAGATTAAAAGAAGTTAGTAAAGAAACCAAGGCAGACAAGCAGCCAGATAAAAGTCCTGGAGGAGACAATGGAAAAGCCCTTCATTGGCTCGATCTGGCTCCAGACAAACTAGAATGGCTTGCACCTCTCACAGTTATAGTTTGGGGTTAAAGTGGATCCTAAATCAGTCCATGTTACCCTGCTAGAGATGGGGTTAGCTGGGCTGAGGGCAATAGCAACGATGTTTGGCTTCAATTGTTTTTACCCGTTGCTCTGTGCCTTGATAGTTTTGAAAATTAGTAAATAAAGTTGTGTGTGAAGAAACCTTATGCTATTACATGCGCCCAAAAGCAAAGTCTTATAAATATCAAACTGACTTGGACCTTTGTCATCAACATGACTGAACCAGGGCCAGGACCTAGAGATCCAGTCTGAGAGTGGACATGGCTCCAGTCTGTGTGAGATATGGGAAGTCAGGCCTGATACCTAAGGGACAGACTCCACGTGAGAGACCAAACAGGATCTAAGGCACAGTTCACCTCTAGTTACGACACTGTTTCCAAGTAGTTACCCACCTGCTATGTGGAGCATCTTCTTTGCAGCGTCGGACTATTGAGTCGTTTCCGGGTGGTTCGGGAGTGGTGGACATGATACTGTAATTGCGATTCCTTAGGGTTTGCTTTTTTAAAAAAGGAAAAAAAAAACTGGTTTTAGCAAAGTCTAGTATCCATTTCTTATTTCAAGAAGCATAAGTGTTTTGGTGCGGTGGCTTGCTTGTAGAGATCTTTACAGAACATGGAAAAGCACAGCTGAGACTAGAGCAATATCATTGTGTGCGCAGAGAGCCTCGTGTAAATGAGCATACATGTCTCTATAGTCTGCTGTTTTAACTTTGTATGCACTAAATGGGGAGATGATGTGGTTTGACACCACAATGTGTGTGGTTATTTCACTGCAGAGTTTTACCTTTAAGCTTGAAAAACGTGGGATGTATGTCGCATTGTAGATACATATGCAAGGGCAAACAGAAGAAGGGGGAAGGACGCAGGTTTACTTGCTATAAATAAGCAAAGTAGTAACTCCAGTTGAGACACTAAAGTCTTAAATGCATTGCAATCAAAATAGTGTAATTCATCAATATATCAAACTAATATTCCCTAGGATAATCCTATAAAAGCAGCTGAGTTTATTATGAGTGGCACAGGGTCCAAGGGACTCTTTTAATTTTCTGGGAGCAGCATTTCTTACAGTGCTCCGGCAAGATGTTTTGTTCTTCGTTGGGTCCTTTATTAACACTCTGCAAGATCACGCATCTCTATTTACCTGCACCTGCTGTGGCAGTGCTCACGATGTGCATATCACAAATCTACCTTGGGAGATTATGGGGAATCTGCAGGCGGGGGAGAAATGGATTGGCTGGTGTGTGCAAAAATTTCCAGCTGCTAGCTACACCCCTTCTCTGACCCGTCGTTGCTTACAGACATGAAGGGCATGAGAAACTCCAACAGAATTGTCCATGTTTCACTAAAATCAATTACAAAGCAGGTTTTCAAGGACCACCTCCTCTTCTCACCACTAAGTGTTAAATGGGTAGAGGAGACGGCGAGGGGTCGTAAATACCCTGTAAAGCCCTGCTGAAATATCTTTAAATAAACATAAGCCAATTATGTGATTTTGGAAAAGGTTAATAACATGGTTCTAATAAAATGCTTGTAAAAGGATTAGGGAGCTGCTGACGGGGCCTTGAATTTGATCGCAGCTGGGCTGCTAGTGCAGAGCTGGCACTCGGTTGTGAAAGCTCTGAACCACATTACGGGGAAAGGTCACAGACAGGCAAGGGGCAACTGAAGGCTCCTTACAATTTTGCCGACTTCACAGCTGCTGACCGAGTTATTGATGGAGACAGGGTTGGAGGAACTGGTGTCGGTGCGGCTGTTGCTGGCATCAGCCCCATCTTCATCCTGTCCTCTGATTGCTGCGCTTACACATGACAGAGAGAAACAAAGAGGGGGATGGCACAGGAGACAGACACCAGAAATACTGACTTTAGATCTGCTTCAGATGAACTCTTCCACACGTTTCCAGCAATGCTGAGAATTATCCAACCATTCTGGCTTCTCTCCTGTTTGCCCACTGTATTGTCCTTACTAGATGGATGATTCAGGGAGGAATTCATTCTCTCTTTTGTCTTCCAATCCACCACCCTTTCCTCCCCACTGGATAACCAGAAACAAGAATGCACAAACCTCTGGAGAGAGCCTTGCCTACTTTCTCTTATTCAACCTCCTCTTTAAAAACACATTTTTTCCATTAGGTATATGAATATTAATCCCCGAGTTGAAGAAATATTGCTTTATTGATATTAATATTAATTAAGTCAGCTGGATCTGGTCTTCTGCTACAAGGACAGTGATCAGTCTCTCTGCTTATCTCACATATTTTGTGTCTGAATCCTAATGGCTGTCTGCTTAACATGTGAGCTCCATGGATCAGTGACCATGTCTTCCACTATATTTTGTGCCATACTGAGTATGAAGCCAGCACACAACAAGAAATGCACATGTTCCTTGCTTAGACTGTTGATCTTTGGGAACGGTATTTGTTAGATAAATGCAGGCAGTGTGGAGTACACATGCACAGTAATTTGGTGAGACTACAGCCAGCTAATGAATCTCAAAAGATACATTTTAGCACTGGATTAGAGTTAAAACTGAACTTCCTCTTGCCAATAGAAGGGGGACTGAACAGATGATTTACCTTCCAACTCCTAAATATTCCCTCCATAACTAGAAATAGAAGCAGAGTACGATGATTTTTAATAGAGGGCTAATTTTGTCTTAAAACTGTGATTAAAGATAAAAGTTAAGTGAAGTAGTTGGAAAGCTGAAACAACTTATGGGACATGATATGGCTCTGCAGTGTGACCCAAGGATGGAAAGGGAGATCAGAAAGAGCTCCCATCCCTTTCCAATTATGATTAACATTGTTTAACATAAATGAAAATATGTTATTTAAACATCTCAGATGTAGTTAAGAGTTTGCCTTGTTGGCATGTTTGTTAGAACAACTGGTAGCAGATGGAGTGGATGAGACAGACTGACAGAAAGGGAATAGGGGCACTGGTGCTCTCTCTGACCTTGAAAATCTGATGCTTTGTTCATACCGACAGGGGATTTAGCTCTTGGTAGCTGAAAGAAAAAGGACAGAAATCAAACTGAACTCCGGACGTATGTCACATTCACTGTAAAACAAACACCTTCCCCCTTTTCCATCGTCATGCTGCAACCTCTATGCCCTCATCTAGAGAGGCAGGGAGGAGAGTCATTTAACACCAAGTCCCAGATTTTTCAGTGAGAGTTAACTGCCTGAATACCTTTACGTATCTGGCCCCAATGCAGTGCAGCTTCTACTTTCTGAAGAGAGAACAAAAAGACAAGGGGGGCCCTTGGGACTGATCTTAGGCGACTGCTAATACAACAGGCATCCCCTTCACAGGGTACAGTATAAAAATGCAGCTCTGTTGCTTCTGGCAATAACAGCAGCCAAGCCTCAGAAAGGTTAGGAAGGGCACAGGGAATTCAAATATGGATATGGGAAAATAGCCGTTCATATATCATGCGTGAATCTTAGATAGCAAGCTTTTACAGTTCATGAATGAAGTAGCAGATGCAGTCAGTCAGGGAAGTCAAAGACCTGAGTCATGCGTCTCCTTATTCTTAAGGAGAAGGACATAATTTAATTCTAAATTAGGTAGTTAATTTTGCTCTAGATAGTGTCCATTTCTTTCTATTACTCCTTCCAGCCAACGTGAGCTTTTTCATCAGAGCTGCATTTTCCAATCAGCCATTTCATGTGTGTTGGACTTGGGGCATTACACCAATTTTGGAGACTTACTCTTTTTATTTTTGCTACTGTTACGAAGGCAAAGAACCATTTTATTGAAGACACAG